AGTTGATCTCTCAGAGTTGTGCAAGTGTTCAAAATCATGCTCCAATATGGAGATCACATTTAGTAAATCAACTATGCTTGTGCAAGCGGATGTTAGGCAGAAATGTTTGAACTTCACAAATTCCTAGTAGATGGATTTACTTGTCAAAAGAGTTTACAAGACTAAAGGTTTACAATAAAAGGTGTGGGGAAATACTGAACAAATGTAAAAGGCAGAGAACATGTCATCAGTTTGGGCAGTGTTAGGTCAGTCCTGTTCATAAATGCGAGTATGGGATGATTTTAGTATCAAAATGATTAACACGTGCAAGGACACTTATCAATGAACTTGATACATGTTGCAGAAATGTTTTATCCATGCCTTTCAACTTGTGTGTGCAAAATTCAAAATTGAATGAATGTGAAGCAATTTGTACAAATAGAGACATTTTTGTGAATACAAATGTTTTCCTTTGTATTAGTGTATCATAATTTGCACATGCAACACAGAAGACGTGCATGTGTGGATCAGGTGACGCGCGTGCATTCATTGACTCGATTCATTGAGTCGATCCTATTTGATTCATTTGGATTTTGAGACTTTCATTTCGCGGGTTTCGCCTTGCACGATCCACACACAGCTGTCTGAGAAAAGCTGCTACCACTAGATGGCAGTATTCTGCTAAAACAGACAACGGCAGCATAATCAAGCGTTCTTCCGCATTTAAGACGCTTAATGAGAGTGATATTGAAGCACCAAATTTAGTACACAATAATATAGGCCTACCCTATTAATAAAGCATACTTTATAGAGGCAAACATTACGTCAGATTATGAACAACACCCATAGAAAACCATTATAAAACGCTTAACGTGCAATCGCGCGTTGCATGTTCAGTAAGGTGTATTGGCTACTGAGTTTAAATATCACCGTCTTACTGCATTGACGTTAAGCTTTTTCTTTATAATATGCTCTATGGGAGGAAAACTATATAGCCTACAGACAAGAGACTACATGAACGCAATGTACGGCGTTTCAAGTTAATAACATTTTCCTTCCCGAGCCTGTTAAAAAGAAAAAGCTTAACATGAAATAAAAATTCTGCAGTTGCGTTTAACTTTGCATGTGAATGGGAGAGCAACCGGTCCGAGAGTGCAGTGAAGTTTGATATTCGCCTCATTTTATAAAGGGACCATCTGCAAACTCCACTCACAGTCAAAAAAATATAAACGTCCAGTCATTCATTCAAATGAACATATTTCCAAGGTTATATTATAACCTTGGAAGTCTAGTGGGCAGACTGACTTAGCCTACTGTTACTGTACTATGTCCAGCCAATATCTCGATTGAACAGTAGCCTACAATTTTTTAATTTACTGTAAATTGTTTTTCTATTCATGTTCCAAAGGTTGTAGTACGTTCCTAGTGACAAGTCAGGTGAAATTTTACATTATTCACTTGTAGTAAGTCACCAAAAACCCGTTTGGTTAATTACAGTAATTTTTTTATAAAATAATAATTGTTTACTAAATAGGCTACATGAAGGGAGTTATTGGGGCAATTTCACCTGTAGTAAGCCAGTCTAGTCACTGAACATACTACAACCATTTTGAACATGAAAAAACCCTTTTGGTGAACTACAGTATTTTTCTGCAGAATACAGGCTACATGAAGGGAAGTATTGTCCAAATTTTACTTGTAAGTCAGTCTTACAGAAACCTTCTACGAGCTTTGGAATTTGAAAATGTCTGTTATTAAATTTAAAAAGTAATTTGAATTAAAACAAATTATACGTTTTAACCACTGATCTATATAGAATGACATTATAGATCAGTGGTTTTAACGCAGTTAGTGGAATTGGCAGACGTTCCCTTGTGCATCATGAGCTGTGGTTAGCGCGTCAAAGCATTCTCGTGTAGAAATATGCAGCTACAGGCCCGCTACGCCAGTTGATTTTCAATTAATATTTCATGTCGATATACAATGGTTGCATATTGTTAAAACTCATCGTGCTATAGTAAGACTATAGCCTATGGCTTAAGGGTCAAGGGAAAACAAATGTAGCCTACTGCGAAAATCGTCTTTAATATTTAAAAACAGACATTTTCAAATTCCTGCTTGTATACTATGTACACAATGTGTAGTCAGATAAAAATAAGCATATAATATGAACGCAACTGCGAAATTTCACCTTTTTTTAACAGGAAGGAAAATTGTATTAACTTGAAACGCCGTGCGTTGCGTTCATGTAGTCTCTTGTCTGTAGGCTATATAGTTTTCCTCCCATAGAGCATATTATAAAGAAAAAGCTTAACGTCAATGCAGTAAGACGGTGATATTTAAACTCAGTAGCCAATACACCTTACTGAACATGCAACGCGCGATTGCACGTTAAGCGTTTTATAATGGTTTTCTATGGGTGTTGTTCATAATCTGACGTAATGTTTGCCTCTATAAAGTATGCTTTATTAATAGGGTAGGCCTATATTATTGTGTACTAAATTTGGTGCTTCAATATCACTCTCATTAAGCGTCTTAAATGCGGAAGAACGCTTGATTATGCTGCCGTTGTCTGTTTTAGCAGAATACTGCCATCTAGTGGTAGCAGCTTTTCTCAGACAGCTGTGTGTGGATCGTGCAAGGCGAAACCCGCGAAATGAAAGTCTCAAAATCCAAATGAATCAAATAGGATCGACTCAATGAATCGAGTCAATGAATGCACGCGCGTCACCTGATCCACACATGCACGTCTTCTGTGTTGCATGTGCAAATTATGATACACTAATACAAAGGAAAACATTTGTATTCACAAAAATGTCTCTATTTGTACAAATTGCTTCACATTCATTCAATTTTGAATTTTGCACACACAAGTTGAAAGGCATGGATAAAACATTTCTGCAACATGTATCAAGTTCATTGATAAGTGTGCTTGCACGTGTTAATCATTTTGATACTAAAATCATCCCATATGCGTGCACAGACAGGTCTGCATTCACAAAACAGCAATTACTGGCTGTATCTTTCCAACAGTCAACCTTTTGTCCTAGGAATGTAAATAGATAGGTAAGATGCCTCATTGCAGTCAGTTAGTGGGTATCTATCGAGGAATGCAGGAGAACTAGAAACTCAGAAGCATTGCCCGTCTCTGTTTGTTATCCAATGCCCTTTTCTCACAAATTCAATTAATTAACTAGCTGTTCAAGGTGATCGTGCTATCATAACTCAACCATAGTTAAAAAACAACATTTGCGTACAGTAAATAAATGCAATAAAAAGCTTCACTTAAATTGCTTCCAAGAATTGTGCAAACTGCCTCCATCTTGCATGCTTGATGGCGTGTAGCCAGAGTATTCACATTGCATACTTTTCGCAATAGCATTTCCAGTTGTTCTCCTCATGAGAAAAAATATATTCCAGAGCAAAGGGTATTTAATATGGAGGCCCAAACCTGCAGAAATAAAGCATAAATAAATGAAATAACAGGAAAATAAATAAAGGAATACATTATTTGATAAAACAAATTGAATCTGAATCCTGATTATTTTTTCTATTAGGCTACTTTTTGTATGTATGTTTAATTTTTAGAATTTAAATTTTTATTTTTATATATATTTTATTGCTGTGTCTGATGCTCTGGGAAAAAGCTGCATGGCTGCTGGTCTATTATCAGTTGTTGTTTTGTATTTTTTATTTTATTTTTTTAGCAAGGTGCTCTAGTACTGTAGGAGACTGAAAAGCTGACTCTAGAACCGCAATGACATTAAAACGTTTTTTTTAAAGCTTTTCACATTTTACAGAACAACCCCCCACCCAATGCCAGCAAGTCAGTAACAAATAAATAAATAAAGTAAATAATAAAACTAATAAAAAACAATAATAATGATAAATGCCTATATGTATGTAAGTAGGCCTACATATACACACACCATACAATATCCATACGTACATATTCATATACACAGATACACATTCAAAATAAAATACTTAAAATAAAATGCCAATACCAATGATTACCCAATTATAAGGCACTCTCCCAACAACAACAAGAATGCACCTAATGTCAGGTTCAACTGTTGCATGAAGTAAGAAGACAATGGCTGGCTATTCTTTACGACTCATTCTGGCTACCATGACAATGGAAAACAATATACAGGTAGGAATATGCCTGCTGGGTTGCTTAAACAATTAGTAATATGAAGTGAGTTGGCCTATGTGATCATGTCTATCTGAACCTTTAGATCCATTAAACTACAACACAGTTTGGCCAAACAGTATAAAACCAACTGTAAATTACTCAGAATATTATTCCATATGTATGTGATACCTTTAGGTCAAACAGTGTTGTAGTTTATTAGATTTAAATGGGTTCAGTAGCCTACTGTATATAAAAAGATACCTGATTAATAATCTGAAAAACAAGCCTTGTGCATTAGGGAATAATATTCTGAGTAATTTACAGTTGGTTTTATACTGTTAGGCCAAACTATGTTGTAGTTTAATGGATTTACATTAGAATATTGCATACATTTAAAGTTCCAAAATTATTATAAAACATATGAAATGCTAATTCCAAAAACAATGCCTTGGGCAATAAAATTGATATTTTTCTGAACATTTTACTATTATTTTGATATCATAATGCCATATAGGCTAGTTACATTTTTTTCCCAGCTAATTAATATATATTTTATGTATTTAAATTAAGCCTTATGCTATGCGAAGGGCACTTGTTTGTGTACATCTTAGCTGGTTTGGGCTGAGAGTTTAATGAAACCGAATGTCTTACGAATGTCAACGTTAAAATAACTTTATCGCCGTCTGGCACGGTAGGCGCTGTTTCCCTACTATTTTTTTATGTGCATTTTTTTTGGGGAAATAAATGAATGAATATACCATTAAAAAAACTATGCATCCCTTATATTTTCTTTTTGCGTACAATGGAACTGGGTGTTTAATCCATGTTTAATACGGGAAGGACGGAGGAAAGTAGACTTGCCGAGACAACGCCCAACTGTATAGCGCAAGAGTTAAGCTGATGTTGCTAGGTGTGGTTCTGTGTATAAATACTTACAGCTGAAACTTTTCTTCTACTCGCTGGCTGTGTGTGCATTCGGTCTTGGTAAGTAAGTAAGGAACTGGGATTTTCTTTATTTCTTACATGTCGTCTTACTCCCGACAGTGCTGTCGTTTTTGTTTTATTGAAATATATAATTGTTGCATTTTTATGACAGCGTTGGTTTTGTTTACTGAAAAATATAATGCAAATGAGAAAAGTGGAAAAAAAAATGCTAATGAAAATGATGCTACAAAGTAATGTAATGTAGTTGCTTAAAGAAGTTATAACCAACTTTGCACACTTTAAACTCTAAAACTCCACATCCTGGTTCTGTAAACTGTTTTTGTCGTCTTCAGTATTTGATTGTGCTTGACAGTCGCTTCTGTTTTACTGGTGAATCATGTCCTTCCAAAAGTTTAAAACTGCTAGAGAACGTATAAATATGATTAATTCCTTAAAACTACAACTGTATTGATTTTTTTAAAGGATTCGGCTTTTTGATATGTATTTTAACATGCCAACATGTTGGTTTGGCTGTTCTGTTCCACAGGTGTCAACATGTCCTTCATCAGTGCTTTTCTCGAGCAGCTTGCCTATCAGGGCATGCAAGAAAACACAAACACAGTACAAGACATCACAGTAAGTTTGCTATAACTTTCTGGAAAATTTGAGCAGCACCAGACTGAATGAGTCAGAGATAGGAATGTACTCCACTCCCCATTATAGTCACAGCCATCCTGTTAAAGGGCATGTGCTTCAATGTTTCTGCTTTCCTTCCTAAAATTTGCTTCTTGAATTTGTATAGACTTCTTACGTTGATCTGCTATTAGTTAGTTTGTAGGCTAGTAATATGTAGGCTATGTTTAAAGGATTTTATTAAGTGGCTCTCATGTCTTTAGGAGGGGCAGGGGACAGTGAAGCCCTTTGCTCAGTTTAATGCGGCTGCAGATGCAGGTGTCCTGGACAAAGCTATCAAGGCAAAAGGTTGGTATATGTTGAAAATCTATAAAACACGTTTATGTCTGTGCATTGTGCATCTGTTTGCTCTATTGACACAAATGTTTGTGTACAGGTGTGGATGAGCCCACAATCATCAGTACACTGGTCCACAGAAGCAATGCCCAGCGCCAGCAAATTAAGGCTGCTTACCAGCAAGCGACTGGCAAGGTATTACATTCAGTGGACCTGAAATGAACACATTCTTTCTCTCTGGATTCACCTTCATCTAAATGACCTCTTCTCCTCTGTGCAGCCTCTAGATGTAGCCCTGAAAGCTGCCCTTAATGGTGAGCTGGAAGATGTGGTTCTGAGCCTGTTGATGCCTCCTGCTCAGTATGATGCCTCTCTGCTCAAAAATGCCATGAAGGTAACATTGTTTCCCAACTGTAGATACAGATAAACTTCACATTTTTATCCTGTATTTGGTGAATATTTAAAAAATATTTACTGGACTTTATTTTACCTTTATTTTATATTTACCCCCCCGCCCGCCCGTCCTGATAACTCAGTCTTTTTCTCTCCAGGGTTTGGGCACAGATGAAGAGACGCTTGTCGAGATTCTGGCCTCTAGGACCAATAAAGAGATCCGAGAGATTAAACAAGTTTTCAAACAAGGTAACATTAATGCTAATTATTAGCCAGTTGTCTTTTAAATATTTTTTTTATGGCAGGAGTGTCCAATCTTGCTCCTCTAGGGCCAACACCCTGCTGAGTTTGGCCCCAGTCTGCTCCAACACGCCTGTCTGGAAGTTTCTAGTTATCCTGAAGAGCTTGCTTGGCTGGTTGGTTCGGGTGTGTTAGAGCGGAACTGTCCAAGATAGTGGCCCTCCAGAAGCAGGATTGGACACCCCTGGTTTATGGTATCCGAGTAGAGTATATCTGTAAATTAATGTATGGCTTACATTTATAGATTATAAAAAGGATCTAGAGGCGGCGATCAAGTCTGAGACAAGTGGAGACTTCAGGAATGCCCTACTTGCTCTCTGCAAGGTTGGATTTTCTTACATAGATGATCCATCTTACATTTTCTAGTAGTGTTTCTCAATTCTGCCCCTCCCAATCCCAGTACTGCATGTCTTGGATGTCTGTCTTATCGAGCACATCTGATTCTGCACCTCAATTCACTAGTAGAGTGATTTGTGACTTGAATTGGATTGTTAATAAACTTTCTTTTCATTTGAATTCATAGGCTGTCAGAAGTGAAGACAAGGTTGTGCAAGATGACCTTGCTGACAAAGATGCCAGGGTAATCAAGTGTTTATTGATAATATGTGGTGGGTTGTTGTATGTACATCTCTCTTGAACTCTCATTTTGCCTGTAGGCCTTGTATGAGGCAGGAGAGAAAAGAAAAGGCACAGACTGCGCTGTGTTCATTGACATCCTCACTACACGGAACGCTCCTCAGCTGAGGAAAAGTATGGTTGACCTCCCTGTTTTTAAAATAAGTAGAGCAGTTGTCTTCTAATCCACTTAATAATGTCATTTTTTTTCTTTAAATTTAGTTTTTCAGCAGTACGCCAAGTACAGTAAAGTGGATGTTGCAAAAGCCCTTGATCTGGAGTTGAAGGGTGATATTGAGACCTGCTTGACTGCTGTTGGTGAGACACTGAAACCTTCATGACTGTCTATAGCTTTACATATCTCATTATAAAATGGAATGACATTCAATAATGTCACTGCAAACTTCTCTGTGAATGGCCTTAGATGAACCATACCTTGCAAGACTTGAATTACTTTCTTAAAGTATGACAAGAATGCTATTTTAATGTTTATTTTGTACTGTATGCAACAATACGACAAGAATGTTATTTTAAGAGAAAGCTTTGAGCAATGAAACAGAAGCTGCATGACATTTCTGGGAAAAAATATTTTCAAGTTTTCATAACACTGTCACTTGTCATCTTTTCAACAGTAAAATGTGCTGGAAACAAATCTGCATTCTTTGCTGATAAACTGAATAAAGCAATGAAGGCAAGTGTAACTCGACATATAATTGATAGATACATTTATATCTCTAGAGTCATACATTTTAAATTGCACCTTTTATGCATGTGTTGGAAATACAGCAGCAAGATCCATCAGTGTGAAGGCCTGTTCACACCGGGACGAATTTCGCGCGCGTTATTCGCCGACGTTTAACGCCTCGTGACTAAACAAAGGGCGCCTATGCGAGTGTGCACACCGACGCGTAAAACGCCACGCGTAAAAGCGTCATTTTTTAAAAAACGCCTCGGGTTCGTTTTTTTGGTTTGACGCGTCACGTCAAAAACTATCCGACCAATGAGATTGGCGCTTTTGCTCACGTGTCTGGAGCTTCTGAAGTTACAGTAAAACACAACTTGGGGGCGCTCAAACACAAAACGGTCTTGCTGAGCACACATACGTAATGGCGAAGAAGATATACAGCGTCTATACTCTGCCGGGAAGAAATAAGACGAGGAAGATGCAAGGCTAGATGAATGTAGAGCTGCTGGTCTTGTTGGTGTCTTTATAAAGAGACACCAACGACAATAAAGAACTATATGACAAACGCGACAAACTTGCTCTCTTCTTCTGAGTGACAAGCGAGTGTCAGAAGCGTAGTTGCGCAGCGCCACTTTGTGGACCGGGGTATTTCTGTTTTACATTAAGCGCCATCTAATGTCAGGGAATGAATTTGCGTGTTCACTCGGCTCATCGTCAGCGAAAATCGCTTGGGTGTGAACACAAAAAACGCGTTGAAAAACGCTGACGAATAACGCGAGCCGATATTCGTCCCGGTGTGTACAGGCCTTCACTTTGTGTTTGCACAGGGCTCTGGTTACAAAGGCAATATCTTGACCAGAATATTGGTGAGCCGCTCTGAGATTGACTTGGCCAAAATCAAGCAAGAGTATCAGAATAAGTTTGGCAAGAGTCTCTACCAGGACATCCAGGTAAATACTGTAAATCTCAGTTAGCAAATTTTAAATCTTGAATTTGTATTCTGTGCTGTCATTATTGTACTCTTCAATACATAAACACAAAATAGTGAGTGTGATATGTGGTCCTTTCCTGTAAAGATTCAATTGTTAAAGATTGTGTGTTTTGTTTGTTTTAGGATGACACCAAAGGAGATTATGAGGCGATCCTGCTAGCCTTGTGTGGCAATTAATTGGTGCCAACAATGAATGTGTACAAATGAAGACCCACCAGCTATCAATATATGAATTATACACCCCATACAGTATAACAACCATATTGGATTAAAAAATGTTTTTGAGAAATAAAAACTTTTCTTAATGTATATATGTGTGTGTGCGTAAATTATGCAACACTTCTAATGTGGTGTGCATCTATGAATTTCTATGAAAGAGCCTAGTGAACAATACAAGTCTTTAAGTTTACTTTAAAAGGGTGCTCCAGAATGTTCAGTCAGTGTGGCAATCTGAGGAACCCCAATTGGTGCTTGAAGAATCTTTTCAATCTATCCTTTTAGTCTGTGCAGTCTCTGTCATAAAAAACAAAGTGCCTACTATTTACAGAGAGGAAAATGTGCCTAGAAGTTTTTAAGTAAACAGTCCCCTTGACTTATAATGTGTAAATTTGCTAATAGACAAAATTACCATTTGATTCAAGTAAAAACTCACATATTTGTTTTAGATGCCTTATATTCATTTAAATTCTTTAAACATTATGTATAAAACTGGGTTTATAAAGTAAACTTACCTGCAGTATAGAAAACTTAGGCTACCACGAAAGATTGAGGATATGACAAACTTGTCTCTGTGTCAGAAGAAACATATTTGGCTGGAACAATGAGAAGTGGGAAATAGATAAATATTGACTAAGAGAGAGGGCGTGATATCTTTAAAACTTAATGAACTTGGGATAAAGTACAGTTCTTTATAATGTGTCATCGGATCGATGTCAGCACAAGACAAGTCTTGCTGTGATTCCTGGCGTACGCTGCAGTACCGGGTGGCGCTGTTGATTATTGGCTGTGAAACAGGGGCTCTATCGAGGGCTATTGTTGATTGGTTGAAGGAGTACGTTACGTCACGCGCTTCCGCGGAAGTAACGAGGATTGGAAAATAGAGGTTATAATATGCAGCATTGACCACAGCGGGTTAAGGAGAGATTTACCTGGAAATACAGTAAGGTATTTGCTGTACTTAAATTGTGTCATTTGTACATTGATATATGTATCATTTCGGTTGTTCGGACTAACGTTAGTCCTAATCGAAAGTCTCCTTCAAGTAGAGCAAATGTGGACAGTAATGGACTGTTTTGGACTGTGAATGAATCGTTCTTATGCTCAAAGATTTAATTGCAGTGTAAAGCTGTTTGCAGAACGTTTATAAAAGATATCTAATGACTCTTGCACATGTTCTATCATGTATACCCAGGTGTGATATTATATCAGTGTCATGAATGAATACATGTGCAATGAATGAATGCATGAAACGCTCAGCACTCTTTGCAATGCTGGTTTGTGTTTAAAGAGGAAAATGCATACTTAACAAGTCCATGTCAAACCCTCTACTTGTGTTCGTTCCAGAGTGCAGCCATGAGCTGAGGCTCCCCAAACCCGCCTTTCTCGATGATGAACGACAAGCTGGTGTTTCTGGGTCTCCTTTACTTCATCCAGGGCATTCCATATGGCCTGCAGTCATCCCTGCTCCCAGTGTACCTGCGCGGTGCCGGTCACTCCCTCACCCGAATCAGCCTCACCAAAATCCTCTACTTCCCCTGGGTGCTCAAGGTGCTCTGGGCCCCTCTGGTGGACCGGACTGGCACCAAGCGCTGCTGGTTGGTGGGCACGGTGGCTGGTCTGGCCCTCACCTGTTTGGTGAGCGCTACTATTTCACCTGATGTCCAGTACATGGTTGTAGCGGGCTCCCTGCTTGCCATGAACTTGCTGGCATCCGTGCAGGACATTGCAGCTGACGGGGTGGCCGTGCGGCTGCTCAGGGGGCAGGGGGAGCTGGGTTTGGGGAACACTGTGCAGGTGGTAGGGTATAAAGCTGGGTCTGTGTTTGCTGGAGGGGGGCTGCTGGCTGTGATTGATGTTGCAGGCTGGGGCTGGATGTTCACACTGCTGGCCTGTGTGTACGGTGGTGTTGCTCTGTTTGTGTGGGGCGCCCCTGTGTTGGACGGAGAGTCGGCGCGGGGACAGGGAGAAGGACGGAGAGGGCCAAAGGATGTGATGCAGCCCTGGAAGGTGTGGAGGAAGCTCTTGTCTGTGCCAGGAACGACATGGACAATGTTCTACGTCCTCACTTACAAGCTAGGTAAGATGTTTGTCATAATTTGACACCATTTACATTTTTACACTAGTTTTACACAAGTTGACTCTAACCTATTGTTTTGTAGTTGTCTACTGAATACATTTTATTCAGACAGTTTAATATGTAAATGTGAAGTGTGTTGTTTCTACATCACCAGAAAAGATTGCCATTTTCCCCCAAACATTTATAACTTTGCCCTACTATTCTGACATTCTGTTGATTTACTAGTCACTTTCCAGCTTAACATTTACAAATAATTTGATTAAAATCTATTTTTTATTTAAAAATATATTTGTATATATATATATATATATATACATTTTATTTTAATACAATTATTTGTAAACGTTAAATATTATTTATGTGCTCGTGCTGTGATAACTATACAGTTATAAGTAAAGTTCCTAAAGTTATTAAGCAGGAAAGTGACTAATTTATGTTAGAATGGTGGGACAGAGGGAAAGTTATAAATCAAAAACTACAGCAACAACACCAACATATTACTGTGACTGATCATGATCTTAAAACTGAGCAGATTATATATATATATATATATATAATACAGTGGTGGCCAAAATTATTCGAACGGTAAGATTTTTTAATGTTTTAAAAGAAGTCTCTTCTGCCCACCAAGGCTTCATTTATTTGATCCAAAATACAGCAAAACAGTAATATTGTGAAATATTTTTACAATTTAAAATAACTGTTATCTATTTGAATATATTTTAAAATGTAATTTATTCCTGTGATCAAAGCTGAATTTTCACCATCATTACTCCAGTCTTCAGTGTCACATGGTTCAGAAATCATTCTTATATGCTGATTTGCTGCTCAAGAAACATGTATTATTATTTCATTATTTATTATGTTGAAAGCAGTTGTGTACAATTTCTTTTCAGGATTCTTTGATGAACAGAAAGTAAAAAAAACACAAAAAAACAGTTATCTGAAATAGAAAGCTTTTGCAACATAATAAATGTCTTTACTGTCACTTTTGATCAATTTAATGCATCCTTGCTGAATAAAATTATTAATTTCTTTACAAAAATCAACAAAAAACTCTTACTGGTACTGACCCCAAACTTTTGAACGGTAGTGATAATGTTACAAAAGCTTTCTATTTCAGATAAATGCTGTTCTTTTGAACTTTCTATTCATCAAATAATCCAGAAAAATTGTACACAACTGTTTTCAACATTGGTAATAATAATTAATGTTTCTTGAGCATCAAATCATCATATTATAATGATTTCTGAAGGATCACGTGACACTGAAAACTGGAGTAATGATGCTGAAAATTCAGCTTTACCACCACAGGAATAAATTGCATTTTAAAATATATTCAAATAGAAAACAGTTCTTTTAAACTGTAAAAATATTTCACAATATTACTGTTTTTGCTGTATTTCCGATCAAATAAATGAAGCCTTGGTGAGCAGAAGAAACTTTTTTAAACATTTACCATTCTAAGAACTTTGGCCACCACTATATATATATATATATATATATATATATATATATATATATATATATATATATATATATATATATATATATATATATATATATATATATATATAGCCTATATAATTTTTTTAGTTCATGGCCAGTCCTGGTAATGTTTTGCCACAAGATGGCAGCCTTGCCATTTTCCATCCTTGCTGTCACATTATTCTCTATGACTTTGAAGCTGCTAAACATCAGGAAACCATACACAGTTGGGTCATCCAGGTGTTCAGAATGTCTGCACTGAAACTGAAACTGATATTGAAATCTTTCATTCAACTTTGAGCTAGCATTTAACTACAAGCCTAACTTCTATGTTATGATTTGAATCAAGAATATAGGCATAAATAGCAGCTAATGAATCACTTTCAATGAGCTGAATGTGGTGTTTGGCACCAGAAGGGGATTATGTCCAGATTAGTCTCTTTGTGTCTGTGGTATTTTCATCGAAAACAGAATTTGTGTGTTTATGTGAATGTGTTTTTTTTTTTTTGTGTCACCTCATTTGAGTGCAATATTTTTTGTCAACTTTAAACAATTTAATCAGAAAACCAGGCTTTGTGTAACTTGTTCATGTATATGGGTATGTGTGTCTCTGGCAAAGAGAGAGAGGTGGCACTGTAATCGGATGAGCTCCAGCAGACAAAATCAGACAGGACAAGCGGCAGCCCCACTCTTAATCCGTCTTATAAGGTTTCTCCCCCTGATCATCATCATAATCATTATTAAACAGCACTTCGGATGACACAAATTACTTCAAATGCAATAACATCTTTCGTTTACAAGTGTGCTAGTTAAGTACACTGCAAAACATCATTCTCCTAATCAGTATTATGTCTCATTGTTCAGTAAAAATATGTACAAATCTGTCAAACAAGATACATTTACTTTGCATAAGATTTGTTTTAGAGAATATGCATGAATTAGACGTTTATTTTCTGTTTTCCATTGACAAATAGTCTTTTTTTTTTTATAGAAATCTTAATATATTTTTTTGCACAAATCTAACAGTTTTGTGCAGTTCATGTTTAAAGCAAACAACAACAAAAATCAATTTGCCTGTGGGATGAGAAAAATCTAACTTTTTAGTCTCTGATAACAAGTCTTATCTAATGGAGATTTGCATCTCATTGATTTATTTGAAATATTAGTATGATTTTTTTCTTCTGGGAAACAAGACAATTTTTGATTCCGAAAAATAGTTTTGCTCTGTTTATCTGCAAAATATCACTAAAAGACAATAAAAATAACTTTAAAACTATCAACACACATTGATGTTGAGTGGAGATAGAAAGTCTTAGAATCCATGCATTTAAATGGTCGTTTGCAGTTTTTTATTTAACTTTAATTGATTGTTTCTCAAAAGCTTTGTGTGATCATATATATTACAGTACATAGGAATTCGCAAACTATAGTTCCCTGTTATTTACTTCAAGATTTTAAAAAGATGTTTATTGGATTGTTGAATAATGTGATTATCTTACTAAGTTGTCAAATCAATCACACTTTACGGTGTTGCATGTCATCTAGAGCGTCTATTGCATCACAGGTTGTTACCAAAATGTGTTCAGCCCAAGCGTTGATAAAGGGTGATGGAGGGACAGCGATGGGATGGAGGGGGCTGGCATTTTGCCAGACGTGGTGCTTCCCTGGGAAGAGTCCAGCTGGAGATGGGAGTGTACTTGTGGGGGGTTCAAATTGGACTCTGAATGGGAGTAGAAAACCACTTTTGCTCTGTCTCTCTCTGTCTTTCACTCTCTTTCTCTAACTATATATACATAACACACACTCATACATGCTTATATGCATGTATAACGCCTGATGCTGCCCTCCCTCTGTCCAGCACAGCAGGGGCCAGGGAAAGGAGGGGCTTGCAGGGGGGATGGAGGGGTGACGCGAGCAGGAGGCAAATATTTTCTAGAGGGAACGCTGAGGACTGCAGGGGGGATGAATTAATGAACAACCACCACATGCTCAACTATGAGAGAGAGTGAAAGAGAGCGAGCGAGATGGTGGGGTGCAGGGGGCATCGGGTATGATGAAAAAGCGTGTGAGTGGAGGGTGATAGAGAAAAGAGAATTCCAAGGAAGAAGATGAGTAAAGCATGTGATGTCTTTTAGTTGACCTACCTTGTTTTCCCATTGTCTGGACCATTGTGTAACTCGGGTGTGAACATTAAAAAGCATTCTGTTTAGATATGTGAGCTTACATCACACTATGAATAGGATGCGTCTCCGTTCCCTATCCTTACCACCGTATCTTCCCTCATGGTTTTTCTCCATGCTTTTGTTTCATCCGAACATTAGTGTCCCAGAACGTAAAGGGAATAACCTAGACCTTTGCGTATTCTAACCTCAGAGGTCCGTAGAGACTTGGTACGGAGCTTGTCGTTGGTTAAGGAGCATTTACAATGGAGTTGTGTGACCTGCTCAAGTACACACAGATGCAGATACACACGGCACAGTGACCTACATGAACTGGGAGGGACTCAGGTTCCTCAGGCTGTTCCCATGCTGAAGACTCTAGGGACTTTGGATCGTAGAGTTGGCTTTAGTCACCATCTAGTTCAGGTGGCGTTACATTGAAATGCATGCTCATGTTGCTCCAAACCCGTATGGCTTTCTATCTTCTGTGGAATACAAAAGTTGAATACTTAAATAATATCCTGGCCTTTCTTTTCTGTGCAATAAAAATAACTGAGGTCTGGGGCTATCAAGTTTTAACAATAGCATGATAGCCTTGGGTGACGAACCGAGTAAAAAGTGAATCATTATTCATGGATAGTCTGAACATCTGTATTGGTGCTTGTGGTGTCATGATATCATGAACAAATCATGAAGTCACTAGCTCAATCTGATTTTAATCAACACATTGGATGGAAAGATCTCTGTTAATAATCATATACATGTACGTCTATTCATTTATGGTGCTTTTTTTTCCTTTCTGAGACTTGACAGGTCCAGTCGTTATTCGTTTTAATTGCATGTAAATAACCAGTATATTCTTAGAAATATCTCTTTTTCTTTCCATAGAAGAAATAAAGTTTGGACCAACATGAGGATGAGAACAAGATGACAATTTTCTTTTTTTAGCTTGAACTATCCGTTTAATTGTAATCCTTAACAGGTTTTCTTTTTTTATATATAAAATGCAGTGGCAGACAACTTTTTAAAAGGAGCTTCAAATCTTTCATCGGGTTTCAATCACTACCACTGTAGTATGATTGTTGTACAGTTCTTTATTTGCTGTAATTGTTCAGTCTCATCCTGAATCTGTAGTCCATTTTTGTCTTCATCTGTTCCCCATTATCTATCGTTGTTAACTGATATAGCATCTCTCCCCACTCTCTCTATAACTCCCCCATTTCTCCTCCCAGTGCCTCCACTCTTCTGCTGTGTTTTTGTGGATGTCTAATGAAATCCCATGTGAAATGGACAATTGTTGCTCTGAGATTATTTATAGACATAAATAAGCAGCCTTGTTGTTTGTTTTCAATCCCTGCTTAAAAAATAATTAGTTTGAAGCAGCGTAGGGGGAAAATAAAAAGACTGAGACAGAACGCTGAAGCGCATGTCCAGACTTCACATATAATCCGATCTACTACAGCATCTGAACTGTTCAATGATCATTTTTGGCATTTTGTATACATTTAGACTACCATGTTGTTGACACTGATCACTATTTGTTTCACAGTGTTTCCTTTACATACATTTTCAACTATAATAATTGTGATATTTTAGTGGAAATGCAGATTCATATTATCTTTCCATAATCTTAAGGATTAAGAATTTCTACTCTATGATTTTGTCTCATGTCACATATTGTTTGACAAGCTGGTCTAATACACATTTAATAGTTCTAAAACCATTGGAATTATTATACAAACAAGCACTTAAAATTTTAGATAAACTATTTAGTTTTCATCATTGTCACATTTTAAATAAGTATAACTTGTTTAGCTGGGAAAATCTAATCAACTTTAAAAATGTTTGTTTAGTTCATAAGATTATGCATGGTTTGGCTCCTCCTCCTCTGGCTGATTTTATTACATTTAAATCTACTAAAAACAGAGTAACGAGAGGTGCAATTAGAGATGATTGTATAATTCCACGTAGGAAAACTTTGTTTGGTCAAGCTGTTTTTTTTTTTCATTTAGAGCATCACATCAGTGGAATACTGTACCACACTCAATTAGAGAATGCTCATCATTTAACTAATTTAAGCATAATTTTAAGAAATGGCTTCTTCATAATCAACAATGTGAACATTAATGCTGCCTCCTTTGCTATTATTAATAATTTCATTTTAAGTAGTAATATTTAACTCATAACAATGTCTTTTTTTTATCTATCTTTTTATTGTGTATATATAGTTTTTTTGTATAATATGTTTAATTGTATTTTACAGAGTTGTTTACAAGTTCTAGTTCTATTATTGTTCTAATGTTTTACCCTTTTCTCTAGTTTTAGGCCTAATAACACCTGGCAAAGGGACTACCAATGAAAACTAGCCTTCGGGCTAATTTGGGTACATTTACATTCATGAATGTTGATTAATGTACACTGTCTCCTTTCTAAATAAAGAAAGAAAGAAATAAGGAAATGAATTTTAAAAATGTAAAAAATAAATAAAATAAAAGTAAAATGTTATATGGTTGATACACCCCCCATCACCCAACCCCTTCACATTTACCTTCAATGTGCAAGGTAAATGTGACTGACTTGTATTATCCTACATAAAACTGCATTCTTATTCCTTGAAGGCAGGGGCGTCATGCAAGCCAAAATTCTGGGGGGGCACAATCTGAGACGTTGCAATTGTTTTCTGACGGGTGATATGGATCATGTTAGGAGGGGTCAGGGGGTTTCTCCCCCTGAAATTTTTTTAATTCTGGCTGCGAAACATACTATTTCAATGCAGTTTGGGAGGGACAGAAATACCTTAACGGAGCTAGCAGCAACCCTCCTCTATCTGAGGACTAAGTTAAAGTATATGTGTATCTTATATGTGCATTATAAGATGTTTTGAAGGCCAAAAAAAACTGGATACAAACAGCTTTAAAACCATGTCACGCAGCTGATTATTTTTCTCTCCTCATCTCCATCACACTTTTTCTCTTTGTTTTTCTCTTGCCCTGTCTCTTCCCCTCCTAAAGTTGAGCTTTGACTGATAGGCTTTTCATTTTTGTCTGTCAGTGAAGAAAGTAAACATAGGGTCAACTGATAGGTTGATTTATGAATCATTTTCTCAGACGAGTTCATTTACTGAAAGCTACTAGGAAAGCTAGGTAGCCTAACTAAGTTTATTAAATTCATTCACAGTACACATTCATTATTGATCTTATAAAGTTACCTAATACAGGGCCGTAGACAGGGCTTTATAATCAAAGAGGTCCTAAATTTGAGGTGGGTAGGGGGTCCAAATTTTTTATTTCTCTGATATGTGCATTTCAAGACGTTTGAAGGCCAAAGAAAGGATAAGAAATAGCCTTAAAACCATGTCAGCGGACAGTAGATTATTTGTCAATACCTGCTCTCACTTCTTATCCATCACTCTTTCTTTTTCTCTCAGTCTCCTGATCTTGCCTTCCCCTCCTAAAGCTGAGCTTTTTTAATTTACTTAAGGCTACAAATTGTACTATATTAATTCTCAATATGTACACATTCATTATTAATCTTGTGCCTAACAATGAAAACGGCTTTTCCCCTCACAATGACAGTAAACTATAATTATTAGCCTACATTACGAGTCACGTTATAACAGGCCTATTTTCAGTTCAAAATGGCGAAATTAGACAAAAGTATATTCGTGTGCCTGATTATTTTTGTCATTCGTTTAACATTTATGAACTAAAAAAACTGTCAAATATGAAATGTTTAGTTTAGCTACTTAAATCTCGCACTTGACTGTACACTGAAGCGTCGAGTCTCACTGCTAAAATTCGCGCTCAGCTTCTGTGAACATAAAGCCCGCCTACTTTGATTTGATTGGTCATCTCAAATATTCTGACATTGACGAGCAGTGACAGACCAATGAGGCTCAGATGAACTCACACGCACACGCACACACACACACCCTGTCCTCTGTTTCTGACGTGCTCTCTGCTCGGCGCCGCTGCGGATTGAAGATGAACAACGCGCTGAATCTGATTATAACAAGACTGAAGTAATAAAAAATTATCAGGGAGGAAAAATCTGAGGGGGCACGTGCCCCCTCACTTTGAATGGGCATGACGCCACTGCTTGAAGGCATTGGACCTGGGTGGCATAGCTGCCTTATGATTCTCTAAGAAAAGATGTGCTGAATGTGAAAAAATGAGTTCCATTGTTCATTGTTGCCACCACATTACAGACTTTACAACATCCTTTACAAGTTTAGTTCTACTGTCAGACTCAATCCTCCACAAAGAAAGCAATGTCAAAGCGCTCACGTGCATCTGTCAGCGACCGTAGCAGAACTCAGGCAGAAGCGTCTGATTTTTTTTATTTGATTTTCTGTTTTTGTTTCTCTCCGGTTTCATCCCGGGGTCCCCGTAAGCGCAGTTTCTGTTTGACGGCGGTCTCAGAGCTGTCAGTCAGCGGGCTGTCTCGCTGTCAAACTGAAGGCAGACTCCATAAATAATGACAATGGCGTTAAATAATACACGGCGGCGGGTTACCGAGGCCTCTGTGCACCCACTATCATGCAGCGAGGCAGCCAGGCAGGACTCGGCGCAATGTAACGGTAACGTTTTCTCTTGCAGCATTTGTTTTTGTCAGAGTTTAAGTGACAAACTCTCAGGAAAAAAAATGACTGGAAGGCAATCCAGGCACTGATCCTTTGAGGAGTAAAGTGCGAGAAAACTAAACAAAACGTGGCCTCTGCTCAGGTTATCTTCACTTTTTTTCCATTCTCAGACATGGCTGTGTTTTATTTTGACTAAGTTTGTGCTGTGATATGCAGTTAATATCAGGTTTTTAACACCAGTTTTGAGAAAAGCCTGATGCAATGTGATAAGAATGCAACACATTTTCAATAATCCGGTCAATTTTCTTGGTCTGTTTGTTCCCTCTAACTAAAGTCCAGAGTTTTCCTAGAAAAGAGCATTTACAATCATACGTGTGTGTGTGCCCTGATGTAATCCTATATTTTGTGTCCAGGCGAACAGGGGGCTATCACCATGTTTCCTCTCTTCCTGCTGGACCACCACATGACTGCCAGAGAGCTGGGGGTGTGGAACGGCATGGTTGCCATGGCATTTTCCATCTGCGGCTCATCAATTGGGGGCTTCTTGCTCTCTCAGTACAGGTAGGGAGTGTGTTTTGTTATAAAACGATGGTGAAACTGACTCAATTCTAGCTGCAACACCCTTTCAGCCAAGTCACGCTTTGCCATTAATGTTGCAGGAATGGTGTTGGAAGACTTTGTTGTTTGAATTTCACCTTACATCTTTTTCTAAACCCCCTCTTGCTTTATCGGTTTTTGTTGCCCACCATCTCTCTGTGAAAGAAACGCGGCCCTTTTCTTTTTCTCAGTGTTTTCTCACTATATCTCTACACCCATCTCAGCCCCAGGTGCGAAAGAAGGAGAGAGAAAGAGATAGTGTGTGTGAGCGATAGAAAGAGTGATAGTAATGGAAGTAAACACAGCCTTTTGTGGGAGCTGAGAGTAAAGCAGGCTCAGGTGTGAGCTGAAAGGCCTCCAGGATGCATAAGGTTGGACTGCGTGAATGGAGATATACTTGTTGCTGATACGTTGCCCTTGTCTACTGACCTGAGACCGGTTTTCACCAGTTATGTCTTGTAATAGTTAAGATAGGATTTTGGTGGTCTACTCTAAACCGTTCCAAGAGCAGTCGAAGTCGCTTATCTTCCTGGAGCGTTATTGACTCATAAGCCCACACACCTGTTAGTGTGCTCAGAGAAAGGCACGAGGAAGAGGATTTTGGAGAAAGACGGGTGCAGTGGTTCTGTGTTTATTTTGTTCCAGACTTGAGGGCAGACATCCAGTCATGTATCCGAGTTTAAGTGAAATGATACTTTTCATACTGGACATGTGCCATTTTCTCCAGGCTGGTTTTCTTTACATTATGTCATAATGAAAATGCATTTTAATGCAGTTTTACACACCACTGGAATGCATTACATTATCTTCTGCACTTGACTGTTGGTGTGTACTTTAGTTAAAATGATGTAATGTTGGTCTATTAATAGCCTGAGAGTAACATCAAATTTAGTCTACTGTCTCTGTGAGCTGCAATTTCCCAAACATCTTAAGTTAGTCACTGAGGTGATGCAAACATTGGCTAGATCAGAGGCCACCAAATCCAGAACAAAAAGTTTGGGGTCAGTAAGATGTTGTTGAAAGAAGTCTCTGACCAAGGTTGCATTTATCTGATCAAAACTGTTTTATATAAAATGTCATTTTTTCTTATGGTGGCAAAGCTAAATTTTCAGCAGCCATTACTTCAGTCTTCAGTGTCACATGACCCTTCAGAAATCATTTGAATATGCTGATTTGTTGCTCTCAAGAAACATTTATTATCAATTAAAGCAGTTGTGTTAATATTTTTAAGGAATCACATTGGAATTACAGTGGAAACTGTGATACATTTTTCAGGATTTTTAATAAATAGAAAGCTATATAATAGAGCAGCATTTATTAAAAAAAAAATTTTTTGTAACAATAAACATATTTACTGTCCCTTTTAAGCAGTTTAAAGGTAGGGTAGGCAATGTTTTTCAAAAACACTTTTTTATACTGTTTGAAACTCTTTTCACATCCTCATAGCAATCAATAATATAAGTGGTCTAAACATTAAACAAATTATATATATCTTCTGTGAAAGTCTCAGAACCAAAATAATGTTTGTCCAATCATTGCCTTTAGTCCGAATGTAATGCTACGGACCGGTGTCTTACCTGCCTGTAAACCTATGACATATTTCCATACCTCCGCTCCAGTTCCATGAGTCACAGTCACAGAGCGCCACAAACAAACAGCAGCCGGCTTTTACAGTCCCTCCTGAACCAAAACAACAAGCTTATGCTGTGTTCACTCCATGTCGTAACCATAATTACAAGATGGCAACTCGTGACTTTCTACTCAGAGCTGTTCACGTCCTAAGTCTCGGATTAATGCTTTTCTATGTCAACACTATCAACGGTGAAATGAATCTACAGCAGTCAGGTGCTACAAGTCAGATCTCTGTAAGTTATTATTGTAAAACTATGTGCTTTGAAACAGGCAATTTAACACCATCTCTTGTGATGCTTTGCAGACTCTGCTGTGTGTGTTCACGTGTTTTGGAGGAGACGTGGCTTTGGAGACGCTCTGTCTGAAGGGAGGGTGTGATCTTACGCTTTCAAAGCTAGCTTGCTATTGCTAGCCTCTCCAAAATCGCCTACCCTAACTTTAATGCGTCCTTCTCAAATTAAAGTATTTATTCCTTAAAAAAACAACAACGTTTGAACGGTAGTGAATGTTTATTGTACAAATAGTCACTTGCCTAGTATTTAATTAACATTTCAGTAGGTCCAGTCTCTAAATTTCCTTCAAGCAAATATCCAAACAATCATAATCATGTACTGGGTAACAGGCCAATATGTTGTATGGATATGAAATTAAATGTGCATTTAAGTATAATATTATTGCTAGAGTGATTATGGGGAATATTAATTTCAGGGGCTCGCCAGGGGCTTTGAGATGCTATGGTCTCCAGTGTTTCCGCTACATTAATTCTGCCGTGGCGGGCCGCCACACCTAAAATCATCCCGCCACGGCTGCAGCTTCTCGGTCCGATATTGTATGTGTTATTGTTAAGCCCCACTAAAGGCATACAAAACATTGTAAAGCACCATAAAGTTTTCGCACTATATTCCAAGACTTCTAAAGTCATTCAATAGCATGTGAGGTAAAAATGTATATTTAAGTCGTTAAGTTAAAGTTAATGGAAACTCATCTCTCCTCAGTCATTCTCCATTCAGCATTCAAACAGCACGTCACGTTCGGGTACGACAGTAACACGACGACACTCTCTTCAAGATCAATGTTCCCATTATTATACTTTATTTGTAGATAAAGATCTATAGTTTGCATAAAATTACTTTATCTTGCTGGAGTTTATAGCGCTTTCTAAATCATATTCCTTTCTCCCGGGTGTCTGTTACTACAGCACTAGAGTAGAGAGCACTATGAATTGTTCTTCATGCGCACTGTAAGTTAACTGAAATTTAAAACTGTTAAAAGAAAAGGCTCAATAAACTGTTGCATAGATATAATACATTAAGCATAGATAGATATAATCTCTTCGCTTTGAACTTTTCAATGCGAAGCGCTGCACGGTGTGACTTCGGGTTGCTTCAAGTGCATCATTCTGCGCACGGGATGCGAATCGCTTTGCCGCTCTTATGGGCTCTATGCACGGCGGTATTTCCGGTGAAGGTCTAAGGATGCTGGATTACTTCCGCCGATCGTAGAGTCCAATGCTATACCGAGAATTTATATTGGTTTTTATACTCTATTGCTATACTAAAGAAACGTTAGGACACAAAAACAGACACCCCTCATTTTGTTTATGCTTCTTTGTTTATTATATTAAATAAACATAACTATATATAAAATTACATCTAAACATATTCAAGTTTCGTTTCAAAGACGAGAGGACAGTAAATTTTGAAGACCATAATCCCGTTTTCCTCGGTTTTCCTCCGCTTTAAATCTCCCCAACCGGAAACGCAAGAGCATCCTTGCATCAAACGCGGAAGTTATGCGTGCATATAGCCCATTGGCGCCTTTCATGTTATAATGCTTAGGGGAAGTTTAAACACCTGGGATAAGGGGGCGTGGCCAGTGGGAATATCACTCATGGGCCACGCCCCCTCCCCCTGCCGAAATGGGCCTGCCACCACGGCTGGAAAAAATCCTAGAGGAAACACTGGTCTCTAAGAAATGTGGATGGATACTGTAAAAATGAGCATGCCTTCAAAACCGTATGTACACCATAGACTGTAAACAAATAGATGTACACCAGCCCAGAACCTGTGCAAAATTCCCTTTAGAAATCCTAATCAGCGGAAGATTGTGCGAACATGCATCTCCACCCCTCCTCCTCCCCAAAAATAACCATATAAGGAGTTTTAACTCTACTATTCATATCCTCACCTGCATATCATTTCCATTGCATATATTTCCATCCATGTAATAGCCTACTACTGCTTTCAAAGACACTTGGACAATATGAGATTGGGATATTTGAGACTGTAAATGCTGTTTGTGCCATCACATTACATCACTAAGACTCATTTATCATTGTCTTGTTTAAAATAAAATAAAAATCTGTAAAAAAAAAAAAAAAGTCCAAAATTGTAGGTAGAAAATACTTTTCAGAAAATAATTATTCTCATTCATTTCTCTTGGCAAAATAGATTATTTTTAATTGTTTTAAACAAAACAAATTTATGCAGTTTTTGTGCGTAAAAGAAACATATTTTAGAATGTTTAGACTGAAAAAGATACTTATTTTTCAGTGTAACAATTTTCTCACATCAGTGCTTCACACAGAACATTTATAAAAAAAATAAAAAACGTGTAAATCTAACCAATTCCTTTAAATAGGCATTTTCATGATGCTTGGAAGACTGCATAAGGTGTTATCAATAGGCTACTGTCAGTCTGCTCAGGAAAACCAGCACACCTGTGTGCAGTGTGGCAGCAGTTGTACAGTACTGTGTCATCGGACCATTCAAACACCAGAAGAGTCTGTGAGTGTCATTATACTGCCTGTGTTGCTAAGCCATCTTAGTCAAGTGCGTATCACTGATCATAACTCGTGTGAATAATCAAAGCAGAATTATCATGTCAAGTAAAAATAGCATTGCACTGGAAAATTGGTAAAAAGCAGCACATCTATTACAAATATTCACATACAACTTGTGGATAATGATTTAATGTAATGCTTAACTCCATTAATGAGAGTGGAATATTTAATATAAATGTGTATATCAAATGGAAAAACAGAGTTTAAAATAATTTTGTATACCTCATTATTTCACTCACACCGGTCAACAAGTGTGGTCTGGAGTGTGCGGACGGTGCGTGCATATTTACGCCAAATACATTTTTTATAAGTCCCGATATGTGCGTGGAAAATTGAGTATGCATATTTCAATGCCCGTTTTGTGCAATGTTTATACATGAGGACTGGGGTGAGTGGGACAGATGTGCAGTCCCAAAATATGCATTAAATATCTACTGTACTCTCTCAAATTTGCTTACCTTTCCATCTCTCCCTTTCTCTCTAACCTCTCCATTATCCTCGGCCCCTTCGTCTTTTTCCTGCTTTACCTTTCTCCCTCCCTTTCTCTCTCTCTCTCCGTCTCTATGCTAAAGGCAGTGTTAGTGAATGAGGAGGAATGTAAAGTTTCACACGCAGGGGGCTTGCTCATTCGACACAGTCGTGCATTCAGGCCTTGCTTCCCACAGATTGGGTTTCTGTCGTTGTCTGTTCAGGGCCACTAAAAGCTAATTTGGACACTTATCCCGGCCCCATCTGAAATGCTTGAGTGGCCAAAAACTGACCCCCATACACTGATCGCCATCAGCAATCTGAGAGTACCAATCTTATCGGGCCTAACTGCTCGTGTGATACGCCTGTTTTAGACTTGCTTTCGATCTCTCGCATCCTTCTCTCTCTCCAAGTTGCTTGTTTTCCTCTTTAAGACTCTCTCTGTCTTTCTTACAGCTCTCTTTTTCTCTCTCTCCTCTCATCTGAGTGAAATATGAAAGAGTGTTATTGAGTGGATGCAGGGAGGGTGTTTGCATGAGAATGATGGCAGATTGGCTTTCCGTCTGACCGGCTGCTGTTGTTGACTGGGTTCATCTAGATCTAAAAGGCTGGTTTAAGATGACAGACGATTCCTTACTCTTCTCTTAAAGTTCAGTTGACCTTTACCCGCATCTCCGTCTCTCTTTCTCGACTTTCTTTCTGTCAGAGGCCTCTGAGGTTATTCACATGGAAAGGATATTTAATTGATGATGCAATTTTATACTTCTTTTTACAACCTTAGGGTCAAGTCAAACAAATTTTCAGGCAACAGATGCTGTCACCAGAGCTTAACTCAAGCCTGGTTATTAATCATTCTGCCTGACCGCTTTAAGCATTAATACATTTGTTCAATTTTAGAGAACATGATGTCAAATTATGTTAACTGTACTGATAATTGGAAATATTAACAACACCGTAGAAGCCGTGACTCCAGACTCTGTGTGTGATTGACAGGGCCCTACGGGTGTTCTGATTGGAGCTGGGAGAAATTGAGGTGTGTGATGGTCACTAATTAGCCGGGGGTTAATCAGCCCGTGTCTGTGGATCTTGTTGCGTTATTGATTATGTCGTGACGGAAGTTCACCCAGTGGGATTCTTAACTGCTAATAGAGAATCAATTAGAGTGTGTAAGCAAACACACTGCATGTAAGCATGTGTACAGGAGTGCTTCTCTGTCTCCGTGTGGCAGTCCTGTGTGGTTGACCCTCATTAATGTCCTACAATGATTGATCTGTAAAATATTAGCATATAGTTTGTTTGGTATTTTTTATATATGTCTTTTTTAATGTTAAATTATATTGCACTACTGTTCAAAAGTTTAGGGTTGGTAAGATTTGGCTGCATTTATTTGATAAAAAAAACCAGTAATAATATTGTGAAATATTATTACAATTGAAATCTTCTGCTTTAATGTATATTTTAAAATGTAATTTATCCCTGTGAATTTTCAGCAGCCATTAGTCTTCCTTGTCACATGATCCTTCACAAATCATTCTAATATGCTGATTTGCAGCTCAAGAAACACTTCAGTGTTGAAAACATTGTTTTGCGTTATATTTTTGTGGAACCTCTACCTTTGATGATAAATAGAAAGTTGCTGAAATGCTGAAAGAGCAGCATTTATTTGTAATATTTTTTTTGTAACATAATAAATGTCTTTATCACTTGTCAAATTCAAACGAATCTGTCCTGTAAAGTGTCCTGTGACTCATGAAAGTATTAATTTCTTTAAATATTTTGAACTTTAATGTATATTATTTTATAATATATGTATTTGTGTAGTATGAGATGATATGAACTGAACTTTCTCTCTTTTATGTCCTCAGTATTGGCCTGCTGATGAGACGTGTGTTTATGATCCGGACTATCAGCATGGTCTTTCAGAGCTCACTTCTCGTAGTGCTGGAGCCCTCGCCCTTGATGAAAGGTGAGAAATTCACATACATGAACAATCTATAGGACCAGCATATTTTTATTTTTATTTTTATTACTTTATCTCTTTGAATAGTGCACTGCTTTATAAATGAAAGGACAGGGAAAAACTCAGTACACTAAGTTTTTCAATGCATTCAAAATGACAAAATGTTTATGTTTATGACTGCCATGTACATTTTATGGGTACAGTTTGTTCTTAAGAGTCAAATAGCTCACCTGTAATTATGTATATATAGAAGTGAAATTGACCTGTTCTCCGCTGAGCTTTCTACTGTTCCCCTGCATTTAAGAATCCATAGGGCCATCTCCGGTTTCCCGCGTTTTCCACTGACAGACTAAAGTGTCCATTTCAGCACCTTGCACAGAGTAAACAGGTGTTCAGGCAGATTGTGTCTGAATAAAACTCTCAACGCTGCATTAAACAACAGCATCGGATAAAAAGGGAGAGTATTAACATGAATGTCATACAGACCAGCATAGAGTTCATCTTGCTGTATGGTGAGATCAGAATAGAAAATTACAAAAAATCTAAAGTTTAAAATTTTTGCGAATTAAATGTATGTATAAATCAAATCCAGATGGGTAGGATAATAAAGATATTTACACTCTTTATATGGCAGAAATAATTAATTATCAAAGCTTAACATGAAAAAAAAAAATGCAAACATTAATACGATCATCACAGTATAAAGGCAAAAACTTATTTAGTACCTAAGCGACCTCTGGAGAATCAAAAAGGAAAAATACACATTTTCAGATTTATCCCGACAATAATTGGCAATTGTTGAGTCCGTTAACAAACTTGGTTTCATTTCATCAGGTGCTCAAGGCTGGTTATTTGTTGCCTTAGGTATCCGTTTTAATATAAACTCCATAGTACCAGAGGCTGATATCTTACCGAAGACAAACTTTCAGTATTGATCCAAACTTCTATCAGTGTGCTTTCTTTTCTGAGAAATTATCTTGAACTTTTATTCCATAAATCTTCTGTAAGACTCCTGTAGATCTGTTCTGATAACCATCTTCATAGTCCTGGTGCTTGGATTCAGCATAATTCAAGTACAATTTTATGCATGAACTCTGTAGAAGTGATCATACAGAAGTTATGTCAAACATACTCTCTCCCGGTTCAACTTGCTTAAGTGGATTTGCGTTTCTGTTTCTGTCTGCGAAAGCTAACGCTATTTTACCTTGAGTATTCTCATGGCTCACTTTGATAAATGAATAAACCCATATTCAAACCCTCTGCCTTTTTTCTCTTATTTTTCCTTGCGCAGTCTCTCTCTCTCGCAGGTGCTTTGAATGTTTATTTAATGAAAATGAAAAAAAGGAAAAGGGGGAAACTCTTGCGTTTTAGCTGTTTCACTCTGTATTTTTTGCCACTGTATTACTTCTTCCCCAGGATGTCGTTGCTTTTTAGTCAAGATGTTTTTGTCAGCGAGCTTCTGTTTGACAACTCCCTCATCTCTCTGTCTTTCTTATTCTCTCTCTGTCTCTCATTTTGCCACTCTCCCAAACGAAATGGAACAAAGCAACTCTGCACCCCATCTAACCCCCCTCAAAAAAAAAAAAAAAGAGGAAAAAAGAATGATAAAGTTCTGCAGAAAATATTTTTCAATATTGTATGAGACTGGATGCCTCAGAAGAGCTGATTTTCCTTCCTGTGGTTCCTGGATAAGTAATGGAGAAGTCTTGTTAGGCAGAACTAAACATTTCCAGTGAATAATTCAGATGGAGCTGGATGTGAACGCTTCATGATTTATTTTATTTTATTTTTTTGTGCAAATGGGCTTCTGGTAATGATTGATTTGAGATTCATGATTTTTAGAGGCTTTAATGGTAGATGGTCTGTCTCATGCTCTGGGTGGACGTTCTCAGGTGAATTTAATAATCAACTTCAAAATGGCCAAAAAGACACTGATTTCTAAGCGTCAATTGTGGAAACATATAGAGTCAGATCCGACTGTGTCTTAAGTTAAACTGCTAGTAGTTTGACATGGTTCTGTCTGCATAAATAATAGTCTGTGAGAGCTCAGTGTTATATTAACAAGCATGTACAGTACTGTTCCTGCTAACACAGGTATGACAGTTGAGTCGGAGTAGAGCTGAAACTGTGAACATTTCATATCATGATATAGTGACCATGATTATCAATATTTTCATGGTGCTGGAAATGTTCAAAAAGTACTCATACGTACACACAAAGTTTTATGCAGAAAATCAACAAACAACAATTAATATTAGCACTGTGCACTTTTTTTCTGCATAGAAAAACATTACCGGCAGGAACCGGTGAACTTTCAACATTAATCGGAATAAACACTACAAAACAACAGTAAAGCAGCAGTCCCTCACGGACGACTGCTGCATATAAACATAATAAAAAGCAGCAGCATAAAGTCCGGGCCTGGTCCTCTCTCGTCTTGCACTGTTATAACTCCTCTTTTTATCCTTCCGGAGCTCCTCCGTGTGACTCGAGACCGGTGTGAAGCTCTGCCCCCACGGCTCTCGGTCACACCCTGCTTGCCACAGCCAGATTTTAAAGGTGCTCTAAGCGATGTTGGGTGACGTCACTTCTTGTTGACGTTTGAAGTATTGTCAAACAAAACGGAGGCTAGCTAGACCCTCCCTCCTCCTCATCCCGTCCCCTCCCCCTGTAGTTTTACTGATACTTCATTCAAGGTGTAATGTCGCCAAGTTAGATAAATGCTTTCATATAATGCAGAAAAAGAGAAACATTACCAGAAAAACATGATAAAACGTTTCGCCACCCGAGGTTATAACTTTAGCTCCCATACAAGGACGCAATAATAGCAAGATAACGTTAGCTTCGCGTTTCCCAGTGAGGATAAACAACGGCTCCGTCGTAAACAAATTTAGTCAAAGTTGTCAATAGGCTATGAATGAACATTCTAATTCATAACAAAGAGTTGGTGAAAACAATCATTCACACAAACTGTCGCCCTACTGTGAGTTTGCTTGATCATTTACAATAGAGATCGATAGCTAGCTGCTAGAAACCTATATGTTGTAATCACCAAAGTTAGCGCTGACTGCATTGTTCTAGCTAATTAATTATATCCTTGTGTTTTTTTAGGCGAACATGAACGTCCATTTAGAAAAACCAAACTGGATTTACCCACCTGTCCAGCAAAAACAGAGCTACCTGAATGTCTCATTGGAAGCCCTTCTGCCGGCGGAGTTCTCACCACCTTTCAAAGGCTTTTCCAATGTAAATTCTGGACTTTGCGCGTTCCTTCTCCTTTTCCCTCTTCTTTGCATTTTTGCAATCTGTTAATCGGAACGTCGTCTCTTTGGTCGTGTGTCGGCCATATCAAACTTAAAGAGTTATAATTCTAACTTCCCTCTTCACGCTTCTCTCTCCTCCACACCCCCCTTCGTGTGTACGCACACTAACCCAACCCCCAAATCATTCTTGTCGGTTATTGGCTGGAACACTGTTTGTTTTGTTTCGTGGAGCGGGTTGGCCCAGTTTGTTTTTGTTGCTGTTTGTGGAGCCTGGGCTGTCTACAGAGACCGCGTTTATTTACAGTGTGTTCAGGAGACAGGCAGCTAGCGGATAGTGAGAAGATGTTTGCTGTATGTGACAAAAAAAATGTTTTGGCCTAAAAAACGTGTGACATCGCTTAGAGCACCTTTAAATGAACAAAAAATATTAGTTTGGTGACTTACAACAAAACATGATATCTATCTACTAATATGTGCCAAAGACTATAGATATAGAAAGACGATTAACTCCTATTAGATATGCGTGGGAGCAACTGCAAAAACAGTTTTCTTTTGTTGTTTATTCTGTTTAATGTGTTTATTTTGTTCGCTGCATAAGTTCTTTTTATATGCTCAATGTTTTATTGTACAGCACTTTGGTGCAACTCTGTTGCTTTTAAATATGCTATAGAAATAAATTTTGAATTGACTTGAATATGGCGGAATAGCCTATGTCCCGCCTTCTGAGTAAAAGAGCCAATCGCTGATTGATAAAGTCGTTGTGTCACTGCAGCTGCCGTTAGAAGCTCCGGTTCCCAGAAACCTGAGACTCGCGCTTAGGACTGCATATGTGCATTGGCTCATCTAGCCTGAAAAATAAGCTTTGTTAACGCTATTGAGAATAATAAACAACATTTATGGGACAGTTCTTGTCAGATTGTGTTGCTGATTTTGAATTATGTTTCTATGTTTATGTACTATGCAGAGGGTCTGTTCTTTCTTTTGATATATTGCATGGTCAGATATTCATACAACAAAATATTCTCGGGGCCATAACATTTTTGTGAAAATGACAAATGAAAAACGCTTTTGCTGGCTGGCAACTTTTTTTTTTTAAACACTGGCAGGGAAAGAGTTAAGAGTTAAGTTTACCTTTGGATTTTTGTCCGATTTTCAAATACTTTTTTTCTTCAAATAAAAGTAGTAATTTTATGATTCCCCTTGTTGCTAGTTGGCTTGGTTCATGGCTTATAGCACTTCAACAAAGACTTTTTGGAAATCCCTATGGGAGAGATGAATGGAAAATTACTTCCGGAACCAGCGCGGCTGAAGACTAAACTTTTCTGAAGACAGTCGGTTCCCCATTAAACGTTCATAGAATTCATTCATTCATACATTCTTTCATATAAATTCTAGTGAGACTGTTGCTAACTTTGCTTAATGCTAAACAGTATTTATCGCAAGTTTTTCAAATCGCGATAGTCAGGTAAATTAAATATGAAAGGTAATACTAAACGTCAGGAATTTTTATCATGGCTTATCGTCAAACCGGTAAACGCTTCATCCCTAAGTCTGAGTAAGGCCAAGCACAAACTACAAGACAGAAGCTCGTCACCCTGCACACATTTCTTCCCACAGGCCTTCTCTCTCAATTAACACTGCCAGATATTCAGTGCAATATTTCAGAGGCATTTTGCGTTTTTATATGTAATATCTAAATTCAGAGCCACAAATTCAAACTTGAGGTGTGTCTGCGATCTGAGGGTTTTTGCTGCAGGCTTAAAACAAGGGCAGAATTGTGTATGTTGTATTAATGTGTATCGTGTCTGCTCTTCCTCAGGTATGGCAGTGCTGAGTCTGAGTTTGCAGCATTTCATAGCGGGTCTTATCACCACTCTCACTTTCACCACGATGATGAACTGCACACAGAGAGCTGAGGAGAGCATACAGGTATCACACACCACCCTCTTCAACTGACCACAGCTTTGACTCTTGCTCCCTGACAGATCAGAACAGGCTGCTTAACAGCATCACAGTGTTCACCTGAGGTCAACAGCAGGACAAATCTGTTGTGTTTTCTCTTCAGTTTCAGCAGCCGTGCTCCAAAGACAACAAAAAATGCATCTTACAGTTTTTGATAGTTGTTGACAGGTAGAGTCTCACAACAGGCCGTGAGCTGCAGAAAGCCTGAGAGTGTTTCCTATCTGCCACATACGTGAGCACATCACAGCAGTCAAAATTTCATTCATCTGTCAGTCAATATCTCCACTCAGAGAACTGAGCAGTTTTAACACTCTCTTTAGCTCTGCACGTCAACTCATTTCAACTCATCAATCACCTACAAAGCATACTCATCAGAAAGTTTATTCAAATTCATAGATTTGACATTTTGATTTCTTTCTTCTTCTTTTTTTAATGTGTAGCCCAGTGGTTAGTTTGCATGCTCTGACTTATTTGTACATTAGTGCTCATGTGAGCAATGCAAGTTTAAGATTGATTTGTGTTATTTCCAGACTCCGTTCCACAAACAACTCTACGGTTTCAAAACTTTCTTCCTAGCAAAGGTGCAATTTATATATACACAACCGTTGAAAAAAAGTTTGATTTCAGATTTTATGGAGTTAAAAACTCTTATGCTCACTAGGGCTGCATTTATATTTGATAGAAAGTACAGTAAATCATTTTAATATCATTTATTCCTGTGATGACAAAGCTGAATTTTCAGCGTCATTACTCCAGTCTTCAGTGTCACATGATCCTTCAGAAATCATTATAATATGCTTATTTGGTGCTCAAGAAACTTTTCTTATTATTATCAATGTTGATAACTATTGATGCGTAATATGTTTTTTCTTTTTCTTTTGAGGAAACATTGATAATATTTGTCAGGATTCTTTGATGGATAGCAAAGATCAGCATTTATTCGAAATGGAAATCTTTTGTGAAATCATAAATGACAATTTTGATCAATTTAATGTATCATTACTGAATACATAAAAAAAACCCGTAGCAACTCAACTTTTAAACATTTGGCTATAAATGAATGAAGCATTTATTATTCCAGGAATATTAATTGCAGGAGTGATTATAGGCGTTCATTTCTGGGGCAGATTCTGTTTTTTTGTTTGTTTTTTCCCCACTTTTTTTCTGTTTGCCAGTCGGGCCAGTAGTTTTTACTTGTCCTGCCAACAATTATGCATTTCTTCTATTAATGTGTTAGAGATAATATATTCATATTTTGTTTTTCAAAAATCAGTAACTGAGAATTATATCGCTATTTATACAGCTATGATATTTATGAAATCCATGCTGTAAATCTATAAACAAAGAGCATACAGTGCAAAAGTTTGCTCTTGTGACAATCAGTGCCCGTTTTGTTCTGAATATGGGCATAAGATGAATAAGCGGCAGATTGAGCTAACAAATAGTTGTTTTAGTACATAGTTTGTGAAACAAACCTAATGCGCATTGTATTTCTCTTCAGATACTGCTTCTGTGCAGTGTAACTGTTCTGTGCCACTTTTATAGTGTAAAGACAGCTTACCTGTCTATCAAAAACAGTCCATCTATATCACCTCTGTTCTTCACAATACTCCACTCCCTATTATGTCCCACTAATCTTGTATTGTCTAATTTCTCTCTTTGTTAGTTCAGTTGTTCATTCTCTCTATTTGTTTATTTATGTATACACTAGATGATAAACGGTAGTTCTCACTGTTTCAATATCTCTCCCCTCCCGTGTTCTCTTGTTTCGTCCCATCGTTAATCTTTGACATGACAGTATTGTCATGTTTAAATGGGCCTGCGCTGCTTGCATGTGATCTTCCACTGCTCTCTTAGCTATTTGTCACTTCACCAGCTCAATACCTGCTGAATTAATGGTACTAACAAAACTCATTACACAATAAGAGAAAGTGCTAGTATGTTTTTCCTCAGCCTCTAAGCAATTAAAAACTTCAGATTCACATTTAGAAGAAAATAACCAGGAGGATGATTGTAAACTGTAGGTTAATTCGAAATGTTTTTATAACATACTGTACATACCATAGCGAGAGCAGCTTGTGTGTGTTTGTTTTAAGGTGGTTTTAGATGACCGAAAACCGATACTGTGAATGTTTGTGAAAAGGCCCTAGAGGGAGAAACTGAACACCTTAAACAAGTTTGTAGGAATAAAGGTACTTCACTTAACTTTGGTGGCGGGGCCACACTGTAAAAAGTGCTACACCCACAAAGTAGGTTTTATATATTTTAAATATTTGTAATCTAGTTTATTTTATTGGTTTTATACAAAAAGAGTATCAAAATACTTCCTCTTTACTTAAAATATATCAGTTTTTATATAACAATATATTTTAAATAAAACCCATGCAATTTATTTGGGTAGTTATTTGTATGTGGTTGTTGTGTACAATAAATGTTATAAAAGTGAGTTGACAATGCACAATTTATTTGAGCAGCTGTCGATGTGACAGGTGTGTTCATCAAACGTAAATATTTTAAATTTTATAAGTTGGCATTATCCCTTTTTCACTGGCGGGGACTCCAGACAGATGCAATATCTTCCTCGGCACTTCAACTGTTTGGTCGCTGCAGCGGATCTGAATTTCAGGGTCTGATTAACACGGTAAGATGAGCAAATTTAGCCGAATGACTGGTGATGTAAACTAAAGTCACAAAATCGCTTACTCCACTAGGGAGCTGAGGTTAGGTTTGCAAATTGTATAGCTAGCTATCCTGCACACATGGTAAGCTAAGATGGCTGCACAGTGTGGTCGATCGGCAGACAACAGCAGCAGTGTTTAAAAACACATACAAGTTACGTATGTAATAATTAGTTGCACAAATGCCCTCAGTTATATTTTTAGATTGCACAGATTAAATTTCGGGATCATATGCGATCGAAACGGTCGCAATTTCGAGCCTTCAGGCAATAGTTGTGCGGGCAAATAAGGGAAAGTAAGATGTGGTGTTTTATGGACAACACTTTGTTTTGTGTGTTCTGTGTCTTTGACAGAACTCAGAGATTATGTTATTATACTTTTGCATTACTAAAGCAGATGCACAGATTAGACTGTATGTATGTTTAGTAGTCTGTCTGATTTTAGAGATTTGATCCACGATATTTTAATGCTGCATTGTCAATTAATGACAGATTTTTGGTCTAGATTTTTATACTATTTCTAACCTATTACTTAAAGAAGTTACATTTACAACTGATTTTTTTTAACCTTATTTCTAACATCTAACATTTTCCCGGTCTTTAGATACCCAAGCACTTTTGTTACCTGGGGTCTTCGAGCTTCACATCCAGGTAAGACAAACTTCAGAATAGATTCAATTACAATTAGATCAGATTATACGTGTTCTGTAAGTCCAATAGACGTTCAGGGAATCTCCATACAAGGTTAAAAACTAGTTCAGATGTGGACATATTTTATGTAATTTAATGTCTAATTTAGACAATTTAAACTTTTTCTGGACCAAACACTTTCAGGATGCATTAAATTAAAACTCATGTTTATTTCAACGTAATTTCTAATTGCAAAGCAACTCTCAGACAGTGTGTGTTTGTCCAAAAATCATGAAATCATTACTGTCTACTTAGGGCAGGCAGCTTAAGGTCCCTGGTTCGAATCTGATTTCTCTCATGATCCAAATATGTATAAATGACAGATGCTAAACTGTCTAAAGGTGTCAGTGCGTGTTTGTCCAAAAATCATGAAAAGAAACTTCACTGTCTGTGAATTGCTTTGCAATTACACATGAAAATTACATTGAAATAAATGTGAGTTTTAATTTAATATATCCTGAGAGTGTTTATTTGGTCTAGAATAAGTATAAATTGTCCAAATGAGACCTTAAATGATGTTGAAAATTGTCCACATTGTCCACATCTGAACTAGTTTTCAACCTTGAATGGAGCTTCCGTGAACGTTCATTACAGAACACCTAAAAAAAGTCGTAAAAACGTTCATTCTGGCTCCTCAGTGGACGTCTTTTCAATGTACGTCTTTGTGACAAAGACGTTGAAAAGATGTCTTTTGGACATAATTTTGCTTAGTGGGTTTACTAATATTGTGATGAAATGGGGTGATTACATTTGCTCTGGAAAGATATTTAAACTCTGTAGCTTAATTAACAGTAATGTGATGACCAATCAGGTACAGGCAAGGACAATTGCATTTGTTTTATTGTAATGCATCCTTTGAACCAGAAAAATACAACACTCATGCTAGAGTAGATCATGATATTTTAGTACCCACACTCTATGGCATTGTCATGGTAGACTTCACTCTGGTCACATGTTCTAGTCACAGTATCCATCTTGTATCCACCACCTTTAGCAACAAAAGTACAATTTGGACTTTGTGTCTTATCTCTTCTACCTGTCTGCTAATATTCATCTCATTTCCTATTTGTCTGACCAAACTCTTGTTTCTTTTTTGTCTCCAGCAAAAGAGTCGGGCTGAAAAAGAGGTGCACGCTGAGCTTGGCAGTTGCCCACTGAAAATTGACATGTTTCATCACCCCGAAACGATTGGGATTATCATATAAGGACAGCCCGTGGTCAGAGGTGTGCCAAACCTGTTGAAAGCATGCTGCCTCCTGTTTGAACTTACCTATGCTCTCGACCTCATGTATCCCTCAAAACTGGTGTATACTTGATATATATCAGAGGCTTTTTGTAGGATTGGACCCTGTGCGTCCTAAACCATCATCATGTAATTTTTGACATTGCAGTTCCAGAGTGATACAATGTGATGTTATGGCTCACATTTACCTTGATCCAAACATTTCAGATTGGGCAGTTTGGATATTTCACTGTACCGTTCAGAACAGGTTGAAAATACACTTCTACAGTGTTTGTTTTATATTAGAGTGTACATGTGCGGCCACATTTATTTGCTGTTTTGTAGTCACTGTTAAAAGTGACACTGGTTGACATTGAATAAATTATATATTGTCTTCAATCTATCTTCTCATCTTTTTCTTCTTCAATTGAATTTGTAATTGTTATTGACAATTAAAAAACAAATATTAAAATGTTTATTCACATATGATTAAGTTAATTTTACTAAGAAAATAAAGTTCATAAAACCTAATTAAAATGAGTACAGGTTACTTGTAGCAACCCATAAATAAGTTACCTGTACCAAGAAAAGTAGGTTTATCCAACTGAGTAATACTAGTACTATTAGTTAACTCAACTTGATTTTGTTGCGTTTCTATAAAGTAATGTTAAAGTGTTCAATATACTTAAAAAAGGCTGCAAGTTGAATCAACATAAAACATCCAATGCAGCCACTTGCCTCACTTTTTATAAGTTAGATCTAGGTATTACTTTTTACAGTGCATGTGAAGGAATGGCCTTGGCTTTGCTTTCCTATTCTGTGTGTTAAGTCGAAGGACTAGAGTATGGAGACAGTCTCTAACGTCCAGACAAGAGAGGGATTCAGACTGCTCTTTGATCCTCCTGTTGGAATTGTTTTGATGTGAGGCGAAGTTAAAAATGGATAAATATGAATCATGTTAAAAAGTCATCTGTTATTTTGAAGAGTATCAAACCACGTCAAAAAGGAAAGCAAACATTTCTGTTGTGCGTGTAAGCTGTAGTGTTACACCGGAGTTCGAATCCTGCTCAGTTTTTTTTTTCTTCTAAATTCCATCTTTGCCTCCTCTCCCCGTCGTTTCCCGTACTATCTCTAACTGTCCTGTCCTATGAAGACATAGAGGGTCATAATATTTAAATTGACATAGCACAATGTATATTAGTTATTGTACGATATTGGAGATATTTTTTATTTGTTGTGATTTTGTATATCTCATTGTTTATTTAATTATGCATGTTCAATTGTGCCTGCTCATTTCCCCTATTTTTACATGTAGATTACCTTTACCATCATCTAACATCTGCTTAATGTTTTCCTTGACATTTTTTAATAATCTTAAATTAAATATCCATTTCCATACGGTACATTATAGAGTTATTTTAGTATTATTTTATGCTATAAATACTTCTATTTATTAATATTTTGAATTTGCTTTTATTTTAATATTTTCAGCTTATAAATTTAAAATTTAAAATGTAATTTTTACCGTTAAAAATAATCTATTTATCTTTGATTTATTTTTATTTCAGTTTTAATTTGAGTAATTTAAGTACTTCAACTTATTTTATTTCAGTTAGTTGCTAAGGCAACATTTCTCATTTTTGTTTCAGTTTGTCATCTAACATTTATATTTTATTTCAGTCAATGGAAACTTTTTTCATAGTTTTAGTAAACAATAACAAAACTGAAAAATGTAAATGCCTAGCATTACATGTTGTAGTGTTTAAATTCACTTGTATTATTTAACATGACAGATTTTAGTTTGTGTTTTCTTTTTTAATTATTTAGGCAATATAGTGTAAAGTTGTAATATAAGTCATTTGTTGGTTTTCGGCCATAACATGGAAAAAATGTTTTGGGTTATCGGTCAATTTTTTAAAATCGGTGCATCCTTAATGTAAAGATCTCTTTTGTAATTAAGTGCTGGACCTGGATCTGAAAACAATTTTTAAAAAGTAGAGATCAGTGAATAAATGTTAGTTGCATCTAGTTAGTCTAGCCTAACAGCAAAACACATTCCCCTTTCTTTATAATTTACTGTCCCTTTTTCACTTTTCTTGAGTAAATCCCCAAAATTGCCTAAAGTCAATGCTAAAACTCTTTCTATCTTGCCTCTCTCTGTCTGTCAATCTTTAGGCCACCCACTACAGTTTTCTGGCCACTCTGGAGGTCCTGGGGAAACTGAGTTTTAGTGCCCTGGCTGGAGGTATGGTGGACACTGTGGGCTTTCCCATAGCCTTCATCCTCTTCCTCTTCCTCACCTCCAGCAGTGCACTGCACGTGTGGAGAGCCACAGAGACTGGCGTCCTGAAGGAGCAGCTTAAAGGCCAGCCACTGTGACCAGTGTGAGCCTAAAAGAGGGCCGAGTGAGTTAATGTCTGGGTAAAAGAGAGCGAGATTGAATCTTATGTTTAGAATAAGATACTGGTGACCAAATAGACAGACAAGCAAATATGTTGTTTTTATTTGTATTAATTTGACACAACCAGCATTGTCCTAGACAAAAGCCACATGCGCACTGCACTCTCAGTACCTCTCTGAAAAACACTGCAAATGTTTAACAGCTACATATAGTCAACTATTTAAAGGTACTTGCTTTTATAAAACAAGTCATCCTGAATGGCAAGCAGACTGAGCTATGGCAACACTGTGAACATGCCATGTAGTCTGTCTGAAGGACAACAGTTATTCATTAAAAAAACAAATGGTTTATCCATTATGTTTGCTATAATGGACACTGCTAAATGTGTAATTCAACAGAATTGTAATCGTTATAAAAGGTTAAAGCTTGTTTAAGGGTCTAGTATAGTTTGGTTTAGTTTTACACACCCTAGTAGTCATTTACACATTTCCTTATATGCAGCATGTATTCATCTTAGAAATGCCTTTAGTTTTTAACCGCAGACACCATTCAGCTTAATGACCAATCAGCAGCATGCTGGATTTTATGAATCGCTTGACTTTAGAGTCATGCAAATTTGGCAGGAGTATGAACATTGAATTATGGTTCTACCAGAAAGACTCGGGAGATCGAATGATGTAACAAAGCATTAATTTATTGACAGCCCAGCAAGCAATTATTTACAAAGTTCTTTGGCGTAGGCCCCGTCCGTAGTGCATAATCCGAGGGTACGGATCTGCATTTCCTGCCTGAAGACGAAGGCAGGGCGCAGGACCATCCTGGTGGTGGTGGGGGGGAGGGTGGAGGTAATTGTTTGCGTCGGTGTCTGCCAACTCAAACATGTGTAAGTACTGATATTTACACAGCAAGTTTTAAGACATGATTGGATAGATGTGAAGGTAATAAGTGACGTAGTAATTGAGTCTTCCTGGCAGAACTTATGCTAAAGCTTTCATTTCTATGATTAGCTTTTTTGTATTCTCAATGCAATACTTTTATTAAAGGGGTCATATCACGGGAACATAAAAGTTCAATGTACTATGAAAAAGCACTGTACCTTTTGACAATGTTATTACATTGACTCTTATTTGTAGTTCAGCAACACTGCCAAAAGATATGTCCTAACTCCACAAGAATTAGTGAAGAGAGTTAAATAAGTTAAAAAACTTGTGCTGCTCCTGGTTGTGTATAGCACCTGAATATCTGCTTATCCTTTCTAGGATTGTTAGGAAAGAATGGCCCAGCAGCAAACGTGACCCAACTATTTCTCATTTCACTTACTTGGACTGTGTTTACATATGCAAGGCACAACACCAAAAATTGCTATTTCATTCGGCAAGTCAGAAAGAGGGTGGAGAGCAGTCATGAGAATACTAAATTAGGACTGTTTTGATATATAAAACTTGACTAACATAGTAAGTGGACCTCAGGGAAAACAATATTCTAAAAAGTATGATATGACCCCTTTAATGTCTGTTAAAATACTGTACATTGAAACAGTCAACTCATCAAGCTAATTTTTTGAGCCAATAATATATTGTTTAAATGTATTTATTTTTTGTATTGTGAGTTGTCTGCATTTCCTATGCAATAACACAAATTTGTTCGATTTTTCAGTAGAACTGCTTCTCATCATACCTGACTTTTTTTTTTTTTTTTTGAGGTTCTTGAGTCATTGAAATAGTCACAATAGTCAGTCACTATCTTCCTGAGCCATGTTTTATTTTTGAATATGTTTGAATTGCCTTACTTTTTTATATAGTTTATTGCAGAGCCAAAACATGTGGAGATATTGTTGAGACTAGATGGGTAAACGTGTGGATTTTGCCATAACTATGTGTTTAAGATACCTTGAATCTATAACATATTATAATTGTTTATACAAATTTTGGAGGGCAATTTTAATTGCAAAAAAAAAAAAACAGAAAATGAAAATGTAACTATACATGTATAAAGCGCATTAGGTCCGTGTACGTTCAATGCATTAATTCGTTTTTCGATTTAATATTGAAATTAAAAAAATTAAAAAAATGGCTCATTTATTCGAAAAAAAAAAAGAATTCGGCTTGATTTTTATATTTTTAGACTCCACATTTAGGGCATGAAATGGCCCTTTCTGCTGATTGGTCAACCAAAGATCAACCCATTCTTCCAGAATAATAGTCCTCCGCTGCTGGATGGATTCTTTAAGTCTTTATTACAAATAATCTCTCTCTCATCCAACAACCGGACTAAAGAATGCTTTGACACAAATTGGCCTAGTAAGGGTTTTCTTTATAGGCGTGGGTTCGACAACGCCTATGTGCCAGAGAATTATTTTCTGATTATTTCAGAAATATTAATGTTGGTTATCTCTCATCTGCACCCACATTACCCATCAGCCTACTTCTTCGGCACAACACTGGTTTTATTTAGTTGTCCAACTATCAAAATCTGTGTGGCAAAGCTGTGTGACGCACTGGACAACACGGAGCGGATAAGTTTATGTTGTAGCGAAGCGCACATAAATGAGCCGTTTTCTAATTTTTCTACTTTCAATATTAAATCGAAAAACGATTGTACCATTTACAGTATATGTTTTCCATGCTTGTATAGTCTTGTGTCATTTTGCTCTTGGTTTCATGTTAACAATGCTTCTGTTTTTTTTTTTTTTTTGAGAAATAGAAATAGACAGTCACAACTGAATAATACATTTTTAAAATGGTCAAAGCTCATCTTTTTATTAGATAACTTAAAAAGGTATGGTCAATTGATGGTTATCATTAAATACTCTGATTAACAAAGGCCTTACTAAACAAAAAAACAAAAAAAACATATTTTGGGGACATTAGCCCTGACTATACATGTAGGAGACTAAAAAATAAAAGCTATTACTGAACCCAGAGTGTGCCTGTGCTTTTGTGAGCTTATCAGACACGAATTAAAAGCCATTAGTCTGTTATCAAGAGATCCTGGGCCATAGGACTTAACCTTAGTCTTTAGAAAATCCAATATTGTGTTGTGTATACATTTGTGGTTTATACACTGCTCTGAAGATCTAAAGCAGAGTGAAATACTAACAACTCAAGTATTTCCCCAGATTGAGCCTGGCGATGTTTCCCCATGAGATGACGCAATAACTGTAGAACCGTATGTTGTTGATGGGACTGAACCATATCCCCAGCTTTTACCATGACACGTATACTCTCCCTCACCATGACGGAGAGGTGATTCTTCCTGATCTGTCAAAGGGATTAGGAGTCCTTACGTAATTCATGAATAGATCTGCGCTTCACCTTTTCACTGTGAAATTATTTCCTGGGTGGTTTAGATAGAGAGAAAGGAAGGGAGAGTCTTCCTCACACTTCACCTTTGGAAAATCACAAGAGACCAAGAACTGGTCAAATGGAGAGTGTGTATGTTTACATGCACGATTATAATTGAGCTACAGCAGGTTTTCTCATAGTCTTTAAAAGTATATTCAGAAATATAGATTAACTATGCATTACACTGTAAAAAGGATCAGTTGACTTAACTTAAAAAAAGTGAGGAAACCGGTTGCCTTAAAATAAACTTCATGCGTAATTGAAAAAAATAAGTTATGTGGAATTGTCAAGTTCACATAACTTATTTTTTCAATTACGTATGAAGTTTATTTCTTAATAATTATAAGGCAACAGGTTACCTCACTTTTTTTAAGTTAAGTTCACTGATCACTTTTTACAGTGTATTTATTTTACAGTATGTATTGTACGGTGGAAAATGTTAAATCTGGGTCCACATGTTTTAGCGAAAATGGAATGTATGTCACTCACATGTCACGTCATTAAATTGGCTATGCTTTCAGCTATGAAAAAGTATAGCTGTTTAACATGTTTTCAAAATGTATACAGTAAATCAATTGACCCTTTACAGTGTAAAGTTTACACAGTCTGTGATTATGCGTTTTTTTTACAGTAATCAACATCATAAATCTATTTTTTTATTTTCATGTAAAAAAATTCATGTACATTTACATTTATTAGTTCATTCAACAATATACTTTGCGTTATATCACCAAATATATTGAATCTCTCTCTATATTTTTTTTTTCTCTTTTGTAAAATCATAGAAACAACTCATATGGATTTTTGGGGGGGGGGGGCTATTGGATCAAATGGGAATGCAAAAATTATCTCTTTTTTTTTTTACCCAACTAGTTAACCCAACTATGACAACTTCCGCATCTGAAAGCCCCAGATATGTGAAAAGGGGCCATTCTGCAGCCTTTTCCTTCAAAAACCTACACAGGAAATACTTGTGAAAATAAATGTTAAAAATGTCAAATGTAATCTCTGCCTGTTATATTGTTGTGGTCAGAATTTCTGTTGGTACAAAAATAAAAAATATTGATTATTTTAATGAACACAGCCTACATTTTCTTAAATTGTTAGCCGAATATTTTTTTTTTTTTTTTTTTTTTTTTTGTGTGTGTGTGTGTGTGCTGTTTTCTCCGTAGACTTCAGTCAAATAGCCAGTTAACCTCCAATTAGCTTTGGGTATGAAATGTGGCCTGGATTCCCATTTACAAACAGCTTAATGTGACCACCAACTGCTTTTAAGGTAGCAAACTGTTGTAAATTGACTTGTCTTACCTAATAGCAACAAACAATAGGTATGACATGAAACAGACCTCAAGTTGTTTCTTGTGCTTTTCCCAGGCATTGAGTTTCCATTTTCTGGGAGCAGAAAGAAGCATTAGAGCCTGAGGTCTTTGGGAAATAAGCTGAGAAGAGAAGAAAGGACACAGTGTAGAGTGAGAAGTAAAGGGACAGTTTGTCTCGTGGTGTCGATTGGAGACAGACCCCCGACTGGGTCCGAGAAATTGGGAGGAGTTGTCCAGCTGAGTGAGTGAGTCCAGAGACTGTACAGTCACCAAAGCCTTTCAGTTTCAGCCTGTCTTTGCATGTCTCATCCAAACCTTGCACAATATTTTTAACTTGAAACTTGACCATTCCGAATACTTAAATTGGGCATCATATGAGCAGTACAATTTGAATATCTTTGAGATACTTAGTTAGTTTAGTTAGATGGTTAGTTTTAGTAGTTTAGTCTATACATTTTTTAACTATATAGTAAGTCTATAGTTTTTATTCATTTTTAGTTATTTTAGTACAAATTTAACTAAATGAAAATGAGATGTCTCATGGGCAGCTGCAAAATAAATAATAAGTTTAACGTTTTAAGATGAATTTTTTGCATTCCTCATTTGTATAGTCGCTTTGGATAAATGCGTATGCTAAATGAATAAATGTAAAGTGTTTTATATTTTTTATTTAGTAAGTTAATGTTTGTTTATTTTCAAGTAACAAAATATTTTTCTATGGATTTAGTTTTAGTGGTCACCCTGGTTGTGACTTAAAACCTCTTATCAGTAGTTTTAATATTTATTTTTGGCCCTAATAGAATAACAAGTTATCCCCATCATTAAGTGATGCACTCTTTTGTGTCAAAGGGATAGTTCATCCAAAAAGGAAAATGCTTTGATCATTTATTCATATTAGTCTTTTTTTTTTTTTTTAAATGTCCTATAGGGTTTTTGTCCATTTAATAAAAGTCAGTGGAGTCCAATGTTGTTTGAACCCCATTGACTTTTAAAATGTCTTCTGTTTTCCACATGAAGAAAGCAAGTCGTACAGGTTTGGAATGCCATGAGGGTGAGTAAATGATGATAGAATTAAAATTTTGGGGTGAACTATCCCTTTAA